CGAGCAACACCCTTTGGGACCCTGGACCGCGGCTTCACTCTGCTTCGGATGCGCTGCCGGCGGGGCGCGGGGAAGCCCCTGTGCGTCTCACACACCGCGCTCTACCGCGACAGCCTCAGGCAAAGCCTACTGCGATGACGAAGGAGAGCTCTTCCTAGGAACACCCAGGCTCCGGGCAGCCGAAACCCTCTCCAGGAGCACACCTGTTCTGAAGAGGCCTGGGGCTGGGGCGTGGCAGTTTTCACACTTGCCAAGGGCTTCCAGTGGGCCAGGCAGGAAACCCGTGCACAGAAAGGACCTCACCGCTCTGCGGAGCGGTCAGGCCGGGTACAGGTGCCGCTGCGCCCTGGAGCCCCGGCCACCACCGGAATTCCACGTGTAGCCCCAGGGACGCTGCAGGCCGGCCGCAGATGCCTTCGGGCGAGACCAAGGATCACTGGTGATCCCACAGCCCTGGGACCAGGAATCCCAAAGTCGGCGGGGTTACTCAGGCAGAACCGCTGGAGGAACCACAGCGCCTGGGCGTGCCCCACCGATCCTTGCCATAGACGGAAAGCGACACTTGTGCCACGGACACGGTTCAGGCCCACGGTAAGCACTTGGGCACGCCGCTCCTCACCGCGCAGCTGCGCAGACGCAGGCCTGGACGCCCGCCGGTTTGCTACCTAAGAACTGCTGGCCGCGGTCGGCGTCCTCCAGGGTGGTCGCCGCTCGACGGAGCTCGTTGTCCGGTGCGTCCAGCCGGTGGCGAGCGTCCTGTACTGCTGCGCTGGAAGCGTTCGCCCAGTGCTCGAAGGGACTGGAGCATCTCTAGTCTGCAGGAGGACGGTTTAGGGGCTGTGGGAGGCCCTGGCGATCACGGTCAGCCGGAGAGTGGGAAGGGGGCTCGTGCGGAAGGGCGTAAAGCGTGACGGCACTGGCTCCCTTTGCACGGAGCGCCAGGGATCGGAGCTTGGAAGCCTGCTGAAGGACAGCAGGGGCGAAGCTCTCCGCTCCCCGCCAACGGCGCGCAGCAGACAGTAGTGGGCCCAGGCTCGCTACTGTGAACACGGGTCGCGCTTGTCCAGGTGGTGGTTTCTGGGGCCTGGGCCCTGCGACTGGTGAGTCACAACGGACCCAGGGAAGGCTGGGGCCCTCGCCTGCCTTGGGAGCCTGCCGGACGTGAGTGAGGCCGTGTGCGTGGGCAAGGCCGCAACTGGGGCGACGGCCCGGCCGCCACCGCACTTCCGTGCTGCCTGCGTCTGCAGTCAGTGACAATACATAGTTGACCCTGTGAGACTGAAGATCCAGGTTAGGGCTGGCGCACCTCCCCGGCCACCATAGCGAGGTAGGAAAGTCGCCAGGTTGATTACCGTTTTTGTGTGGTTAGAGAGAGGGTCTGGTCGCGCTGGTGTACATGGTGAGCCGAGGATGATGCAGATCATAGGCTGCGACTGTGACTTTGCAGAAGCTCGCTGAGCTCAGTGTTGCTCGTGACTTCAGGCGCTCCCAAAGTAGCTGAGGGATGATGGCGTGTGCCAGCCACCAGTGCCGCAGCGTAATGTTTCCGGATTTTTTGGTAGAAAAGACACCTCTGCTGGGCAGGCTGGTCTTGGATAATTCCTGGCCGTGCAGGGCGGATTCTCGCTGCCTCAGCCTCCCGGAAGAGTCCTACCGACTGAACGCTGCCGTGCGAAGGGTGGGAGGGCGGCGCCAGCCAGAACGCGCTCGCTCAAGCCCTGTCGCGACGGTGTGGCTGACAACCGAGCCGCTGGGCGTGCGCCAAGGCCTCCTCAGGCTCGGCCGCGGTTCTTTCTGAGCAGAGGGGAAGTCATGGCGCCGCAGGGCTCGGTGCTGTGTGCTTTCTTTCTTGTCTATCTGTTTTTTCTTCCCTTACCTCATGTTGCTGCGACGGTATAATCTGATCAGCCTGGGTGGTT